TTATTCATACCTCAGTTTTAAACGTATTATATTTGTTTTATAGTCCCCACGGTCCCTAGAATGGTGCGTAACTTTAGTTGCTGGTGATCTATAACCCATTTATATATTGTATTGTTGAATTCATTCTTTCATATGCTCTCAGTTAGTTTAAAATCAATCGAAACTGTGTTCCTCTAGTTATTATACTTCCATCGCTAACAGGTTTCATTCAAGCTGAAAATATCTGTATTTTAAATGGCTACGTTCTCGTTACGACATGGCTAAAATACTGCCGACGTGACGTTAAATTTCGACTCACTCACTTCCTCACTCTTTTTATAGAACTTATATTCTGGTAACAAATTGTCCTACGGCTACCTTTTCGCAATACCTGTCTTCACCTTTAGAATAACAAAATATACATAGCGATATGATTAGGCATTAAAATTGATGCTGTCTTCAACAAAGAGACTGTGTTCATAAGACAGGGGGTAAGTCATTCCTCATTTTAATACTTGTTAAGTTTGTTGAAACAAAATGTTTCAACACAATCTGCTGTGAAATATCAGGTCATATCTAATCTTGACATCTGCTAAAATGTTGACAATAAAGGAATTCGTCACGTAGCAAATTGTGAAGGTCTCCAATAGATAAAACTTATAAACCAAGCAGATGGCTCTTTTTATACTGCGCCCCTCCTACGTTTGGATTGCAGCTCAATCGCACCACAATATATACTGAACAACAGTGACATTGAATAAGATTTAATGCAAAGTTATGTTTTTAACCAAGTCTGAAACAATTTCGGTTTGCAACAGATAAAAGACTCCTGTAAGTGTTCAAATGGTTTCATTTGCCATACTGACTTCAGAAAATGCGTGATTTCATAACAAAAACATGAACATGCCAAAATGTCAATTTACAAATCAATAGCTGTGCTGTGCTTTGGGATATCTGTCCATATCCGCTGTTCCTGGAGTGTCTGTGGAACACGTGGTTGACGTCGAAGGCGCCGATCCATCCCATCCGACATGTGCTCGGTTGGTGAGAGATCAGGGGAGCGAGCCGGCCAGGGGATGACGTTCACGTTGTTTTGTTGATGAGAATCCTGAACAAGTCGAGAAATATGAGGCCGGGCGTTGTCATGACACAATGATTGACGTAGCGTTCACCTCGACGTCAGTACACTCGAATCCGTCCATCGCTGTGGCTGAGGTGAAAACGAGACTTGTCAGTGAATAGAACTTGTCCCCACTGCATTGCCGTCTAGCGTAGACGCTGTCTGCACCACTGTAGACGTGCTTGACGGTGGTTTCCTGTCGAAATGGGACGTCTGGCAGGTCTTCTGGCGACAATCCCTGCACATCTGCGACGACGACGTACAATTTGTGAAGATATTCGTCGAAGGCCAGGGCTGCTTCTTGCACTCACTGTTGCTGGCTGGAATCGATTTCGTAGGTGTGTTGTTCGAATCCAGTTGTCTTGTCGATTATTGGTTACGCGTGGCCTCCTACTCCGAGGATGGTCTCTGACTGCATTCGTCTGTTGCCATCGTTGCCATAAACACCAAATGGTGTTTCTGTGGACGTTACATTGTCTTGCAACATCACGTTGACTCGATCCTGCTTCAAGCATACCAATGGCTCGCAGACGCTCATTTTCGGACAGGCGTGGCGTTTCGTAATGTTGAATAATTGCGTAATCTGGTTGTTTTTCTGAGTGGTTGTTGTCAGCACGATGCTTAATAATGCATATGGAATCCCGTTAACGCACATCTATTTATACCCATTCTTGGGTAGTGAAATGCATGGGGCTTGCATAAAAGTCAACTTTTGCATGGAATGCATGCTTTTCTGTAGCAGTTGCGTTTTTGTGACTTCCATACATGTACTACAATATTGAAAACCAAACTTGTTTGAAAAAACACTAAAATATTAGTGTCACAGGAACTTTTGTTGTTGAGTATATAATATAGTGCAAAGGTGACACCTTAGAAAACATTAGGATGGGAGGGAACAGCAATGAAACTAAAAAAGCACACGGGATAACTCTACCGGCAGTGAAACTTAATTTCTTTGAAATGGTGATCATTTGTGATTTATATGGGCTACAATTAATCTATCCCACATTGAATTACAAATAAAAGCAACAATACTCATTCCATATCCGTAAGAAATCTCGCCAAAAAGCAGAGTCGATTCTGACAAAATCCCGATCACATGTTAATAAATCACAATCAAATAGTTAAAGGGGCACTGATCTAAAACAATACCCCGGGACTGGTTGTTGCCTTTGTTATTGTTCTTTCCCGTGAGTACCGCATGATATAGCAGAGACCTAGACTAGTTCGCAACCTGTGCTGCGCATTTGTCACTTTTATTGATAGTATAAGGGCGTATGGTCACATTGATCAACAAAATGAAATACAGTTTTGGAAATAATAAGGAAATGTAGGTATCGTTGTGGGTAGCATCGGTAATGGTGACGAAGTTTTGATAAGTCACTTGCTTGGTAATTGTGCGATTTTCGTTTACACTACTTTGACTTGCTACACAAAGTAAATATTTCTCCTGAGCATTGCTTATTTTATTGTGTTTATATTTTTACAGTCAAAATGTGCAAAATTTTACACTTAGGAAATTTGTTAAACGCCTGAATATTCAGTTATTTTACAAATTGACTGAAAAATATGTCCATCTGTATTATTATGACAACGAATTCCAAACATTTTAATGTTTAATATGATCACCAAGAGACTGAAAAGTTACGATGAAAAATACATTTCTATATTGTTTGGCTTCTAATCCAACATAATAATATATTGTGATGTTTTTAGGCCCTATTGATCGTCTTAATTAATTTTGGTCAATCTGTTAAAGAAATGGACAGATTTTTCAGTCGAAATGACTTAAATATTCACACATTTTATAAATTGCCTGAGAGAATCACATTTTGCAACTTGACTGTAATATACAAAGGAAAAGACTTGTGAAAACAACGTCTATCGCGCATCGAAGAATTTCCCAACCAAGACGTAGAGGAACAAGAATGTACAAAGAAACGTTATCGATGTCACGTGTCTCTGTAACAATCAAATATTTTAAAATATATACATCGTTTCGGGATATTATAACCTGTGTTCGTTTCTGATCACTTAGATTGTTTCAGGTGTTTCACATAGGTGTCAAGTCTCATAGGTCGGCTTAGAAAGCCCACGTGACAACTATTTTCATAACGTCCACGGTTCCTAAAGAAAATTCCATTGAGTTAGATAACAATGAGCAATTAATCAACGTAGTGTCGGTTAACCCTTTGAACAAAGTATGTTGTTTTTACATCGGCACTTCACGCAAGGATATGAGAATATTCCCTTTGTTTTAGTAAACCCAGACATGTAAATACTCACTTTTGACACTATCCACCGTGCAAGATAACAGTGGTTAATCAATCAATGTATTTTCTGTTAATCCTTTGATGACTACGAACGATCCGCTGATTTACAAAAAAAGTAAATCAACTGATCATTCATCTCTTGCTGGGGTGCCACGTGCATATTTACATAACACACATTTCACCTCACTTCAAACCTGGATTTAGATTGAATAATTACCCCAGACACTATAAATGCCAAATGGGAAGCTTCCTCAGGTATTCGGAGTGATGCTACCACTAATTATACCTGTAATAAATTCATTAACTGAGCATCAAGTGAATGACGACAAATACGCAAGTGTAGGGTTATACCAGAAAACGTGGATGACAACAAGGGAGTAGTAATGGTATTATCGACGCAATCCGAAATCCGAAAATGCTTTCACTGCATTGATCCTTTTTTTAAACGATAACAAATCAAGGGTGTTTCCAAATGGCGACAACCGATGATCTCCGCCGTTCTTTTTGTCTGTTTGTTTAGGCTGAAGAAATTAATAAACATGCGCCTTTGTCGAAATCTTTATAGATCACAGTTAACCAATCAGTGTCCAAAATGGGTAAAACAAATATTGCCTCCAAGTTTATTTTGCTGTCCTTGCAGACGGTAGCCCAGTCTCTTGTCACGTTCAGTTGCGTTGCGTATCATCCGGGTGCTTACGGGGAAAAAACAATAACAAAGGCAACAACCAGTCCCGGGGAATTGCTTTAGATCAGTGCCCCTTTAAAGTACAAGTGTTCGCAAAAAGGTAAGCGTGTCGCGCGCCCGCCACAAACACATGCAAGTCAAATCAACTGTTCACAAGAAAACACACAGGAACATGTTGCACAACACCATAAAGATAATTGCATCGGACATCATGTTTACTCATTGATGCGTCAAATTTGGAAATGTCCACATGTGACGTGATACAAACAAGAAGTACGAATAACTTTATTTAAAAAACAGAAACAGACATGGAAGAAAAGGGAATATTTGTATAAATGCTAAATGAGCTAAATTTGTAGTCCTCTGGTATTCTGTACTCATAGACCATCTAACGTTAACGTACATGAATCTCAAATTGGATAATCCAATAAATAGCCAGGATGTAGCTACATTTATTTTCTCTTTTGATCACAAAGCCTACCGCTGGTACATGAAAATCCGAAAACCAAATGTTTGGCCAAGATAAAATTACAATCGTTTTGTGTGTGTTTTCATGTCATGGCGGATTTGATTATTTGCAGGTTATTAATGGTTTTGAATAGTGATGACAGTACTGCTAATCAAACTTTCTAATTTCCCAAATCATTTTAAACAACATAGTACTCACTGTAAGCACATGGTTCAGAAAGTCACATTGAAGGCAACAAGAGAGTCACACTAGCCTACACACATGCCACTGATCATAGAGTAAATAATTACTGAAGGAATCGACGTGTCACATTAAATCACTGCAAATCCACGTTTGAAAAGCTTATCACAACGGAGGCATTCCCTAACACAGTGGGGGGGGATCGGACGTCGAGCTCCGGACGAGTTCCTTCTTATACCCCAAACACCAGCACGGACATCATGATCAGTGCCAGGGCTCCAGACAAATGTCGCCTTATACACAAAACACCAGCAGGGACATCAGTGCCAGAAGCAGGAAGACCCCGAACAAAACGTGGTCCGAGCGGCGGACCTTTGACGGACGTTCAGTGCTTTTGGGGTTTACGTTGTAGTGTTCTGGCTGTACATCTGTCTTGGTCTGAAATAGGTGACCGTTATTGCGGACGTTGAGTGTGGCCATGGTGGTGATGATAGCCAGGCAGCTCTGACAGAGGATGAGGGTCAGGTACACAGACAGTCGACAAACGTCTCCAGACTTGGGGATCGAGTCATTGACGAAGTTCATGAACACTGCATAGGACACAAATATTGAGATGAGGTAGGACATCTTCTCTCCGGAGTCAGCTGGTAGGAGGAACACACAGGCGTTGAGCAGAGAGAGAAGAGCCATAGGAAAGATGATACTAACTATATAGAACATGCTCTTGCGTTTCAAACATACTCAAACGATACCAGACTTGATATCTGTTTCATTTGGACGTCTACATTCTTGGCAAGTATGTCAACCAACTCCCATTCATTGTTCTCAATAAAGAAAGAAGGTAATCCTGTAATATTAGAACCGGTTCTGTCAACTCCAAGATCGAAAGTATTTACAGGCGTAAACAGGATGCTACATCGCTGCTGATCAAACGGGTACCGAGTGATGTCTATTTGACAACTGGTCTTGAAACTCTCAAGGAATTGAAGTGATGCAATTCCATTACTGGATATCTTTGGAGATTGTTCTGAAGCCAAGGTAGCGCTGTCGATACCGTTAGGGATGGCAATGGTCGGTATCCATACAAACTTCTCAGAGATGGTCACTTCCGTAATATTATCATAATCAGTTTTGTTCCAAGCCAGATTTGGGTCGAGCCACGTCATGCGGAAACCAGCACTGAAAGTGAATATCTGCTCGGCAGCATTGAGGTTGGAGATGGACATCAGCAACATACTTATGTTGACCTGTTTGTCATCGGAGAGATCAACACTGATGCCATAAGCATCAGTTTCCCCTTGGAGATATGCCTTCAGTCTTCCTAATGTCGACTCAGCGCTATCACATATACTGGCGATTGATACTATGACGACTAAGTTAAGGATTTTAGCCGGCATGTAAAACATGATATCAGTGTTCAGTGGTGATGTTCAAAATGACAGATATTGTCAGGCAGGTCTTTATCCATTTATAATTTTGCTTAAATTGTGACAATGGACCTGTGAACTGGAATACGAGTCAACACGTATCACGCAATCAATAATGCTAGGCGCCTTGCGCACACCCATTAGTGAAAATGTAAGCGCTTTATAAACAGATTGATGTTAATGATTCAATAGTAATACCTGTCCCCACCTTCATTGGACAAAGCAGTATCTCTGTATAGCACCTACTGCAGTTACGTACAAATAATGGAGGTGGTAATGACAACAGATTGCCGTGGAAAAAATCTTTTATTAAATGCTCAGTAATCAGTGTTTCCAAAGCACCATTAATATACTTTTTAGTGAAAAGTACTATATGTTTCTTTGCTTTCTGCAATATGAGTAGACCGGAAACATTTAAATGCGTCATGTCCCTGAAATGTATGTGCAACGTAAATACGCATTAATGTATTGCCAACGAATTGATTAATGCCATTGCCTGAGAATATATGTGGCATGCACTTCAATTTGTGCAAAGGAATTACACAGACAACGCATTTAAATGAACCTGGTGCTGGCACGGACGTTACTACACTAACATGCGATTAAATATGAAATTAAAGCTGGGGTTAATACAGAGTGAGTGAGTAAGTTAATATTTAACGTAACAGCGGCAATATTTCAGCTATATTATGACGAGAAGTTATTCATTAAGAATACATATATTAAGACTAAATAAAAACCTGTCATCGATGGACAGTAAATAACTAGAATATCACAGATTAATACTTAAGACTAGCTTACAACCATAAAAAGATATCACTATATTCCACAATACAATATGAAAAAGGGCTGTAGATCGCCAGCAACTGAAGGTAGATCACCATACCCGGGGGGACTGGTTGCGAATACCAGGTATCATAACTATTTGTTAGTGATTCATTAAGAAACGCTCAAGATATAGTCGGAATTTTTCAATCCAATCTGCTTTATGCAGAGATTTCTATTGGATATTGAAAGCATTTTGTCGCTTTATTTACAGTACCTTTGCTACATGCATGGATTTACATCATGCCTTCAGCGGCTGGCGTTTGTATGTAATGTTACCCACAATTGAAATTACAAATATTCTAGGCTTAAAGGAATAGTAAGCAAAATATTCTTATGAGACGAACAAACGTTATCCTCTCAGGGGAACAATAATTTTACACTACTTCAACCCCCTTCGAGGAAATAGCCACTTACAAACTCAGATAGAAATTCATTATACCAATTTTAAAGGTCTTTTATTTCTTACAAAACATATGATCAAAATGTATTATACAATTCTTTTTCCTTTAAAAAACAAATAATTAAAAGAGAACTAATATTTTTAAAAATATCCTTTGAAATAATTATCACTTGTGATGGAAAAATCCAACACAGTTAAGCAGGACATGCTTGATAGGGTGGTTCTCTCATCTTGGGTTAATGATCAGTGTTGTTTTACAATCACAAGAGGTGTTACAGATTTGTTGAGTGCTGCTTTTGCACAGTTCGTTGAGGAAGAATTTTTAGCCACAGTTTAACCAAGTTTTTTCGCAATATCAGATTTATCCGTTAGTGGTACATCCTCATTCTTGAAATGGTGGATGCTGGAATTGGAACTCTTACCTTGTATTTTTCTGAATCATGTTCCATACATTAGACATGGTAAGTATATTTTTAGACATCAGTTTGCCAAGACGTTGGCGTTTATTTACAATATAGGTAAAAATAAAAGAAATGACGGTATTAAAATTATGGATCATGGGGATGGCAACGGAAATCGTGTTCAGCCATTTTCCGTGCCTTCCTTGCTTGTTTGTTTGTAGTCATTGTGGTTTGTGGATGTGTAGAATTGCAGAGGACTTTGGAATACATTCATCAGCAATTTTGCAAAGTTCATCAGAGAGTATTCGGACATGATCAGGAACGGTTGATAAACAAATCAGGTGTTAATTTTGGTGTGTGGGAGTGACGTCCATCTCCAGGGGCTGAAACGGATTTATGAACCTCAACAGATGTTCAACAGGAGAAGGCACCGCCAAGTGTTGGAGTGTCCTGGCTTTTCTCCTCATCTGCTTTTTAGCCTGTTTTGATAAATGGGCTTCAGCCTGAAATATTTCTATTTCGGTTACAGGGTTTGGTTCTGGTTCTAAGTGGTGATATTTGATCAGAAGGTATTGATTGAAAGTTTTGTTTGGGTGGCAGATGTCGGTATCATTGGAGAGTTTTGAGAAGTCTGAATGGTGTCATTGATGGTAATTTGTCATTCTTCAACCAAGAGATAGAAGAGAGATGGTATTGTATGGAGACCATAGTTACTTTGGTTACTGAAACTGGTGAAGAAGAGACGACAGCTGAATAGCTTTTAGAAGGTGTTTGGGACGGAATGAGCAACTGTTTTGCCACGGTGTAAGAGTGAGTGAGTATGGTTTTACGCCGCTTTTAGCAATATTCCAGCAATATCACGACGGGGGACACCAGAAATGGGCTTCACACATTGTACCCATGTCGGGAATCGAACCCAGGTCCTCGGCGTGATGAGCGAACGCTTTAACCACTAGGCTACCCGACCGCCCCCTTCTGGCAGAGAACTTCATCAAGATTATTATATAATATTCTGATAAAAAAATAGTTTGATATGATATGATATTTCGAAAGTATCAAGTATTCCATGCACAGGGCATGGAGTGACCAGCCGATTGATAGAATCGGGCCAATTCAACTACACATCGAGGTATAGTAAGGATCAAAGTAGTGTGTGGGGCAAAGGGGACAGCTGTTCCTGGCTCCAGTGCCGGTAACAACTGGAATCACGTTCTCTATCGACACAGGGGCGCAACCCACGGCAAACAGGTTGCCGAATTCGGTCGCCTCTTACGACCAGCAATGGGGTGCTGAGGACATATTCTACCCCGGGGCCTCACGTGGGCTTTTTTGCAGATATTCGTGCTGAGAAACATACATTTGATTTCTCAACTTTTCAGATGAACATGACATGAATACGAACATTAAACGTTCGGTAGTACAACGGGATGAAGTAGGTGAAGGTATAACTACATGCCAGGTAACCTTTACTGAGTGCCTTGCAAATCAGAATGAGGAATACTCACAGAAGACAAATATCAGATATTTAATCAGTCGGAAACTCAAGAGAATCTCTTTGATATAGCTTCGGAAACATTTAAGAACACGCTGATCCGCTCTAAACTTGATTGTGGCTCCATCATCTAAAGTGGGACTTGTAAAACCAATTTAAAATCACTTAATACGATTCACCATCAAGGCCTGAGGCTTTGCCCTTGAGCCTTCAGATCTTCGCCAATTAATAGTTTGTATGTGGGAGCGGATGAACCATCCGTTAAACACCGTCGCATCAGATAATCTTTGCAGTATATCTATGAATTACGTTCTACTTGCTCGAATCCAGCATGTCACTGTGTTTTTCATCTGCGGCTAAAATAAATCTTGACAATATAGCCCCCACTCATCTGTTGTCTTCTCCACAATGGCATTTAGTAAACCAGAGGTGGATCTAACATTAACTGAACTAAGGCATTTTGAAACAAATCAACTAATTTATCAACGAGAATATAATCAATAAAAAGCTTTTACAATACCTACAAATCTTTACATATAGATCCAAGGATGTTGACAAACAATTTACATATATTTTCCGACTCTCTTTCCTGTCTTCATGCAATTAAAAATCAGTCTTCCAAACATCGACTTTTAATCGAAATTCTTGAATGAAATAATTAATGTGCCACTGGCCAATACGGCATCATTGATTTTTCCATCACAAGGGATACGTATTTAAAATCTTCATCTATTAAGGGTCTTTATAACAGTATTAGTTCTCATTTGTTTATTGGGTTTTTAATGTATGTAGGAACACATAATTCAAAGTACATTTATTCATACCTCAGTTTTAAACGTATTATATTTGTTTTATAGTCCCCACGGTCCCTAGAATGGTGCGTAACTTTAGTTGCTGGTGATCTATAACCCATTTATATATTGTATTGTTGAATTCATTCTTTCATATGCTCTCAGTTAGTTTAAAATCAATCGAAACTGTGTTCCTCTAGTTATTATACTTCCATCGCTAACAGGTTTCATTCAAGCTGAAAATATCTGTATTTTAAATGGCTACGTTCTCGTTACGACATGGCTAAAATACTGCCGACGTGACGTTAAATTTCGACTCACTCACTTCCTCACTCTTTTTATAGAACTTATATTCTGGTAACAAATTGTCCTACGGCTACCTTTTCGCAATACCTGTCTTCACCTTTAGAATAACAAAATATACATAGCGATATGATTAGGCATTAAAATTGATGCTGTCTTCAACAAAGAGACTGTGTTCATAAGACAGGGGGTAAGTCATTCCTCATTTTAATACTTGTTAAGTTTGTTGAAACAAAATGTTTCAACACAATCTGCTGTGAAATATCAGGTCATATCTAATCTTGACATCTGCTAAAATGTTGACAATAAAGGAATTCGTCACGTAGCAAATTGTGAAGGTCTCCAATAGATAAAACTTATAAACCAAGCAGATGGCTCTTTTTATACTGCGCCCCTCCTACGTTTGGATTGCAGCTCAATCGCACCACAATATATACTGAACAACAGTGACATTGAATAAGATTTAATGCAAAGTTATGTTTTTAACCAAGTCTGAAACAATTTCGGTTTGCAACAGATAAAAGACTCCTGTAAGTGTTCAAATGGTTTCATTTGCCATACTGACTTCAGAAAATGCGTGATTTCATAACAAAAACATGAACATGCCAAAATGTCAATTTACAAATCAATAGCTGTGCTGTGCTTTGGGATATCTGTCCATATCCGCTGTTCCTGGAGTGTCTGTGGAACACGTGGTTGACGTCGAAGGCGCCGATCCATCCCATCCGACATGTGCTCGGTTGGTGAGAGATCAG